TCAACCAAAAAACATTCAAGCGGTGGTGACATGCAAGTACAAGAATTTACCTACACTTGCCCGATGCAACAAATGCAAGTAACCAACGACTTGCAGGTTCGTTGCAGCCCCTAACATCCTCATAACATCTAGTGTAATGTGTCTATGGATTTTATTGTTCGTTTTCCTCCATCCCATAATAAAATATTTATTTTTGTAGTTGATGAAGTTTTGAAGTATGTATATTTTCCTCCTTGTCTCACCCCTATACAAAATCACCACAGCAAGGCTATTTTTTAATACCATCTTTAAGCTTCATGATGACAGTTGGAATCCATTGTTAGTGACCGCAAGATACTCCTGTTAGAACCTTTTAGCGAGAACTTTTCTGATTAGCCTAAGATTTCTTTTAGTTAAACTTATCATCCCCAATAGGATGGTCAAATGGAGATGAAAAACTACAGAATTGAAGTGTATTCAAGGTACTTCACTAGTGAATATCACATACACTAGCTAGACTAGATTTCATAGAGAAAATATTGTTATAAAACGAGTTATTACACTGCCTTGACGATGCCATCCTTTCAAGTGGCATATGGTTGACCCCCTTCTCAACTGCTCTCTTATTGCCCCAGGTAAACAAAGCTAAAGTTGTAGACTATGAGCCTCTTAACTAGGACATTTTCTCACAAGATTTGTGCAACCACCTTTGCATAAGTTTCCATAAAGTAGATTTATGATAATAAACACAGAGTGATGCATGTCAAGGTCAAGGATTAGGCGCGCTTGGAGCTTCACCCTTACCCATAGATGTAATTGTCCTGGCTGCTAGGGACTTCAAGAAGTTGGTACTAAAGTGATATGGTCTATTCGCATTTTGGATAGAATCGGGGAAGTTGCCATCAAGCTGGATCTGCGACAACCCTTATCCACCCAAATTTTCATGTTCTTACTTGAAACCATTTCAGGGAGATGAATCAATAAAGACTATGGCAACCACCAATCCATGCAGGAGATATAAATTCTCATTCCTGAGGTCATGATTGAGCAAAGATCGAGAGGAGGAATGAATCACAAAACTACGATATTGAGAAAATTCTCAGAGTAATTTGTATGAACTGGTAACCATTTTATAATTAAACTTTCATAATTATAGTTAGATTAGGATAGTATTGCCTCTAGTACATAAATTATCATGAAAATTCTCTTAATAGCATAGTTGTCTGATGCAATTATGCCCTAAGTGTGATACTTTGAAATCCTCACCTTACTTGTGATGCTTAGGGGATCCTAGGACTGACACCTAGTTAATTTTCTGTAATCTAGCCCGATTCTAGATTTGATATCTAAGAATCCCTAACTTTACCCCAGATGTCCTAGTAGTCGAATGACCACTAATTTATAGTACATCATTCCCTACTTGGTTCAATTACAAGATGATGAATATTCTACTCCAAGTGGAACTAGAAGAATAGTTTCAACTTCACCAAAACCAATAAATTTACATGCATTTTTCAATTTTACTTAGAATTTTCTTGGTGTTGAATTTCCATATCTTGGAGTGAAATTTTATCCTCTCATAATTGAACCAACTCCATTCTAAATGACTTCCAGAAAAATAATGTATTAGTTTCAAATACCTTAAACTGCAGTCCGTTTCATCCAGTCTAAATATATCTGTTTTAGTTTAAACCACCAACAAATACAGATATATGATGTTAGAAAATTATTAAAATTGTAAAACAAAAGTAGTTTTTATTTATCTAAATAACTAATTATGTTATATAATAAATATACATATATTTAAAAATAATAAAAATTTTATCACATTAATTTTAAAATCATCAAAAAAATTAAAATACTCTATTTTCAAAACTTAGAAAGGAAAAAATTCCCCTTTACGAGCCTCTAAAATATTGTTTTAAAACGTTACAAGTTAAACCATTTTCTTAAAAAGAAAAAAGATAACACTCAAAATATTTCTGTCACTACACAGTAAAGAGTCCATAGATCCCATAGACTATCGTCTTCAGCAGCGTCCTCCAACAGAGATATAAAATGTGAATATTTGATACATATTCAGCACCAGTGATAAATTCGCTCCCTGTTGCGCTTAGCTTTTCTAATCATCCAACAAAGTAAAATTGGTCGAAAAAATTCACCGGAAAGTTGAGGCAACTCCCCGATTTCCGGAGCCCAAAAAACCTATAAATGAGAAACCTAGGAATGACCTGGGAGGTTTGCAAATGAGAAACCTAGAAAACCTGGGAGGTTTTCCTTGCTAAAAAAAAAATCACTCCTTAGAAAAACAACTACAATTGGAATCTATATTCAATGAACAGTTGATAAAAAAAAAAGTGTTCAAACTTTCTTCAAGGAACAAAAACAATTGTTCAACAGAAGCCGGAAACCTTGGCGT